CCCCAAAACCCCAAAACCCCAAAACCCCGATGTGCTAACTAGTCAAAATATGGTGAATCAAAATTATGAAATAAATGAGTTTGAATAATGATAAATGAATATCATGTGAATTGATTTAGTTGTTAAATCATTGGTAGAGTTTCGTCAATCGTCTGATCCAATATCATAGGCAGATCTGTCTGCGTCAATATCACCGCAGAACTTGATAGCGAACAAGATTCTATCTCTTGCAATCTCGAATGTAGGATATCTTGGCATGTCCAATGTAAAGAAACTAATAGTCTTAAATCAATGAAAAAACTTACCAAGTGTGGGAGACTGGCAAGCAAGCATTAGCTACAAAAGTCATCGAGACTATCTTATGTTTCTGGTCAGTGCTTGATGGAAGTCTAGCTCTTCCCCAAACGAATTTCAAATATTAAGATCTTTCCTCATCATTGAAACTCTCCATTACCTGCCAGAAAATCTGGATATGGGAATCACTCAAAGATGCACCCTAAATTTGAATAAAAAATATGATTGATTACTTCATAGACACTGATTGATTTCAGCTTGACAAGATCGAGTGTTTTGCTTCCAGTAGCTCTTGCTTCAACTTGCTTTGAATTCAAGAATTTGCAGATGTTGAGGTTAATCACAAAGTTAATACCTTCTTTAATGGCTTTCATTTACTTTTGTGCTTCATTAATTCTAGCATTTACAACAAGTCTAATGTATTCATCGAGGTTGCTCTTTGTTACTCTAGTGTTTCTACCACCTGGAATTAATTCAACTTAGGTACCGTTTGACAACAAAGTAACAAATTATTCCTCAATAGCAGCTTCGAAGTCATCATCTGATAATCCTTTAGCATTGTTTCTTAAGTCTTCAATAACTTACCATGAGTAAGTATCAAATGCCTTAAGATCTTGTTCTTTTTCTTAATCAGTTTCAGTATCTATTTCATCGATTAATAGTTTCCAGAAAATTGGTGCTAAGTCAAGAGGCAATGCTTGTTCACTTCTAATTGCAGCTCCAATGAAGTAGCCGAAATGCTTAAAAAGTTCAAGATGAGATGGACTGTTTGATGAGGGATTTACCATCCAACATTCTCTGTACTGTCCATGGTTATTCTTATTGTTTGGTGTTGGAATTAATACTGGTAAAACAGCAGATTGGAGCTCGTTACAAATATTTGTTAATGTTTCTCTGTAAGGACCACCTGCGTCAATTGAGCCTTCTCCTTTAAATTCGACCTTGAGAATTTAAGAGTCAACACTGTTAACTCTAAAGCAGTTCTTGTTATTCACAGCTTTCTTTAATGATTATACAATTTAACCGAAAATAGTGTGAACTCCTTCATGATCACATGCGCCTGTATCAGCGAAAGCCATAGCCTTTCTTCTTCTTACAGTGACTTCATATCTGTCTCCGCAAGGAAGAACACTAATCATTGAATTTAATATTTCTCTCTTTTGGAATCCAGCTAAGTTTCCAATGAGTTACTTTCTTAAGTATGGTAATGAATCTGGCAAGCAACTTTTGAGAGTTCTCTCGGAAATTCTCATTAGAACTTTCTTTGCAACAGACATAGTAAACTAGAATTGGAAAATTCCCATTTAAATCTGGCTGTAATTCTCATCAGTCACATACTTCTTTAGATTATCTAGAGTTTTTCTCAAATCTTCACTGAGATCATCGGGCTTTCCATCTTTAAAGTATTTAAGAATTTCTTTTCTCTTGTCAAATAACTCCACATCCAAAGTACTGTATGGTGCCTCGATTTAATCCTGATAGAATTGGACGAGTTGCTTTTCAACTCCTGTATCAAAGTTCTTAAACATTGCTGGTATATTCTTCTTAAAGATATCCTGATCAGTAACACCCTTGAATAAATCAAGAATAGTTTACTTGTTGGCGAAATGGAGTCTATCTGATGAGATTGAAAAATTATATTTCATTGTAGTTGCTGGATACTCATAAATCTTTTGAATATTAACTGCAGGTAGAGTTGATTCTGCCTTAAGAGCATGAGTTAATCTGAAGTAAACCAAGGGTAAATTGTCGCATTAGTTTGGTCCATTGAAGGCTTCTTCTGATAAATGAATATGCTTTGTCTCACCTTCTTCTACATATGAAGCATAGTATCTTGATGCCCCAATAATTGGCTTTCCAGTCTCACTGCAAACTAAGTTGTGATTAGTCTCTGGCGTGAATTTAGCACTGAGGTCAATTGCTTCTTTAGCCTGATCAAAGATTTCTTATAGATATTCCATTCTCTTATAAAGTTGTGGAGCTGAGTGTCTGAGAGCTAGGGAAACTGGTGGGAATGAATCTTATCTGTCAGGTAAGTCTTGATGAAGATAGAAATGCCATCCGTTCTTTGAGGGATCTTGCTCAATTATTTCCTTTCTTCTTGCCTCAAGAGCAATCTTTCTCTATTCATTTTATTATAATTTGAGAAGTCTCTCTTATTCTCTTTGTTCTTTCTCCTAAGTTTTACTTGAAGAATCTTTTTCTTCTTCTTATTGTGAAAGCAGTGCAGCCTTATGAATTGATTAGTATTCTAGTTCATCAATCTTGTCCTTTGAAGATTATTCTTCATCTGCAAGTAAAGGTAAATTGTCCTGAATTGATGATTTGTCAACGTATAGATGCAAGTATCCTCTTTTAAACACTGTTGGCAGAATTTCATTAGAGACGAACTTGTGAACTAAGGTTTCATTTGGATTAGAGTTTTCAAAGACTGGGAAGATAAGTGAGCTTTAGTGACCAGCAGCCATTGCCTAAATCTTCAAGCCGTCGAAACGATTAATTCTTATTATACGGTATGGAGCTAACTAAAGCTCTTCGACTTTTACTCCTCTGTGAGTTGAACCAGATTCATCAGGGTTATAACCTACTTGATAAAGTCTAAGTTCTTTGACACCTGTAAGTGGGTCTATTTCTTCTACATGCACGAATGAGTGATCATCACCTGCAGCCACATCTAATACCTTAAACCTAGTCAGATCACTAAAGAATGGAATAACTGTTGGTTTATAGATTAATGGTGTGTTCTCATCTAAGCCTAATCTCTAACCAAGGTTTGATCCCCAACCATAGAGTTCACCCTTATCTGTGATAGCAAAGGCGTGATTGGTATGTAAACTGACTTTGACAAATTTAATATTCTCATGGTCATATTCTAATGGAGTTAGAGTCTTCATCTCTTCTTTTATGCCTAACAGTCCAGAAAGATGAGAGCCGAAACCAGCAAGACATCTCTTACCACCTTCCTGCATATCTACAATGAAGCATTTAGAATACTTTTCTCTTGAAGCCCAAACTCTTAAGATCTTTTAGTTTGCTTCTAGAGGGAATTTTACAAATCCAGCTTCTCCATTGTGTGGCTTTTGGAATACAAGATCCATATAGAAATCTCCAGATCCATAGAGTTGACCTTTTTTAGTTGCTAGCATTGTGAAATGATTTCCACTACTTAGATCTGATATCTCATCACCTGCTTCAATTGGATCTACAAATTTAGCCTTGTAGAAATTGTTAGTAACATAGCTGTTAGTTGAGTAATGATTATTTTTAGCTCCTCCATTGAAATAGACATTGTTATCTGCACAGGCGATGGCATAATTTCTTTTTCCTGTTGTAATGCATTTAACGTTGGAGAAATGGTCATTCACAGTAAATGGCGTAGATGAGGTGCTGCCTGCAACTGTACCAAAGAATTTAGTGATGCCTTTATCGTTTAAGAAGATTGAGGTGTTCTTTGAAGTTGAAATTTAAACAACATTATCTCCTACTTCTTGCATAATATCCATTTCTTTCCAAGACTCGCCTGAAATGTTCATGTTCAGTCTACCACGCTTTGTCTGACCAAATGTGATCAAACTTGATGCAAATGAGCATTTGTAAGTAATGTAGAGTTCTTTGAGGTCATACGTTTCATTTATTGTGTTTCCAATCAATTGCTTTCCTTGCAAGTCATAATAAACTGCGAACTTATCGTCTATAATACTATTAGAATGGAAAAAATTTACCTGTCTAACTGTCAGAATTGTCTTTTGAAATCTTAATGAAGCTTCCTCCATCTACTGATTTCCATTTCATTACAAATGGCACTTTAAGTTGCTCGGGATGATTTTTGATGACTTTCTTTATTTATTCGATCTTTTCTTCAACTTATTTCAGTGACCCACTAGAATTTTTAAATAGTTGGAAGAATGCGAGTGCATTCTTGTTCTTGACTAAATCAATCTTAGTTCTCCATTTGTTTTGCTATTTATGAGGAATATAGCATGTAACTGATTCCTTCTTAGGCTAATTTGAGTACATGTCCTTAATGAGCTCCCACTCAAAGAAGATTTCCTTTAGAATCTTCATTTGCTCCTTTGACTTTGCATTAGGGATGATTGAATCATGCTTGTTCTTGAAGAGAGGTAGGATACTAATCTTGGCTACGTCAGCAATTAGAATTTCATGATAGTCTGACTTTCCAGATCTGATGAAGGTCAAAATATTAGCGATCAAGGTAAAGAACTTGATTTGAATGTTGCTACTCTTTGGCTCTTTAACTTATAGTGCAAGACTAAGACTGAAGAGAAGTGATATGGCATTTGAGAGATATCCTCTGATCTAGGCAAAGATTTCTGGGAACTTCTTCATTATTTGATTGGTAATTAGATAGACGAATGATGGTAGTGGATACATTTAAGCATCTACTTCACTATCAAATGTGGCCTTTGACAAAAATTCTAAAATGATTGATTAAAAAATATAGCATACCTTTGTCATTAATGAGTTTTTGGGTTACTAGAACTGTTGGCTTGAGGATATTAGTTGAAAGGAATTCAATTACAAAGCCTCTCATCTCTGGCTCCTGGATAAGTCTCTGAATTAAAGACTTAACTTGCTTGTAGAATGTTTTATCTCCAGTCAAGTTCTTGATCTTTAGAGCTTCATTATATGAAAGTAGAAGCATCTTGTCCAAGTCTTCAATGTCTCTCAAAATTTAAACGGGTAGAGGGTTTAAGTATTCAATGAAAGTGATTAAAGTTGTTCTTGATCTGAGTCTTAAAAGCTTGTTAAGAGTTGTTACATATCTTTTAGAGAGACCAGAGTCTTCAAATTTAGAATTGAATGCTGCTGAGAAAGCTTTTTATTTCTCTTATTAGACATTATCTTTGATATTTTCATCAAAGTTACTTTCCTTAAGTTTATCCATAAATTCAGATACAGGCTTTAGAGCAAATATCTCATCCCATAACTTTTAACCTAGATCTTCAAAGTTATCTTAGGTCTCATTTAATGACTTTTGTTTTCTTTGCAGAGAAGCCATCTTTCCTACGAGCAGTTTCTTAATATTTGATTAAGATGCCTCATCTTTGAACTTTTTATCTAATAGAGTTCTGAGTTTTTACAGTGCTTCAACACCTTTATCTTCAGTCTTGGTATTGTTTTTGAAATGATTGTATTGTTCCTCTGAGAAGCCAGCTAGATCTTTTAACTAAGACACAAAACTATCAAATTAGGCTGAAGTGGTATCGAAATGAGTGTGCTATTTAACATTTTGACTAAGGATTTAATCAAGATCAGCCTGAGCTATCTGAATGACAACCTTATGATGAAGCCCTTCTAAGATTTATGTTCTGTACTTTAAAGTCTTTCCTCTAAGTGTATAGTAAATACTTTCAATTGATAAATTGTCATTGACCAATACTACATTTGATCTCTGAATAGCATTAAGAACTAAAACATCATCTTCAGAGTTAAGTTCATTAGCATCTAAAATGAGGAGTTGAATACTTTCTGGTAAAAGTTATGAAGTGCTCTTAATATCTGAATATTTTGTAACAATGACTTAACCCTGCTTGAATTAAGGGTTAAGTTGATTGTGGTTTAATGAAGCTAAAATTGAAGCATTTCTAAGGAATGATTTAGTAGAAGATCCATCTGAGAGCTTCTCTGAGGGGTTGAAGAATGTAACAGTAAATTCTCCTACATGAGCAGTCAATTTAGGAGTAATAACAAGTGAGTTCAGAGATTCTTATGCTTTAACTCTTAGGGAGCTAAGTTGGATTTCTAATAGCTCATTTGGTAGATTAAGCTCACCAACAGACTTGATTTCTGGTTTATTGGCGTTTCTTTGAAGGGAGGTGATAAAGAATTTCAAAAGTCCAATATCCTTGAGTAGTTGGAGGAAATCAGAGGAGTTGTTTAAAGTCATTTCTGATTCAACTAATTGGTTGATCACTTTAATGATTTGGACCTGAGATTGTCTGAGGACAAGGGAACTAGAATCATCTACGTCGTATCCAAGGATTTGAATCAAGTTAGAAATCACATCTTTCTCATAAAGAATTGATAGCTTGTTTTGAACTCTGGCTGTGTTTACTGGGACAAGCTCACTGATGCTCAAAGCTCTGACTTCAGGCACATATTCACCATCTTAAATAAATAAGACGAGGACTTTCTGTTTTTCGATATTTGAGCAGTATATTGAGGTCTTAAATTTGGTAAGGGCATCATTTTCCATTGAGAATAAATTTTCACCTACTTTAGCATCCTCACTGAAACCAAGAATGATGCATCTCTGGGATTCCTTGTAAACTGCTTGGGAACCAGCCATAATTCTAGTGAAACCGCCAGCTGGAATGATGCCAAGGAAAATATCTGATTCCTCAATTTTCCAGTTTTTCACTGGCTGAGTTAGATACGCTCTGATTCTGTTTCTTAGACTACTTTGGAGTTCCTCTTGTGGAGCACTATCATAAATAGTTCTTAACAATGAAATTAATTCTTGAGATACGGCATATGAACCCACAGCTATAAAAAGGTCAGTTATCTTAAATAAAAATCTTACATTCCAAATCACTGCTAGTCCAAAGACTGTGTCTAACTTTTAGTAAATAATTTAGCAAGAATCTGATGAATAATGAACTGACATCAGAATTTAAATTTCCCAAGTTAAGGATTTGGTGTGCTCTTGAAGTTGGGTCTCTAGTGATGATCTTGATAGTGTCCTCAAATACATCAGCTGGCAACTGAATCTTGATCAAATTCTCAATAATCTTAATAGCAGTTAATTAGTTTTTGGGGGAAGCATAAATCATAATGTTCAGTAGTGCTTCGATTTGATAAGGTGTAGCTACCTTTTAAACCATTTGATGCTGACTTTGTTCACTTGTAGCTATTGAAATGAAGACATCAACGAGTCTAAGTAATCTTTCAAGGAATTTCTCTTGGTAAGCTACATGAGCTTGCTCAATCAAAGTCTAGTTTTCTTCCTCTTTTTCTTTTTGGCATTTTTCTTGTTGATCTTAATCGAAGTTGCCTTCTGCTGGAGCTGCCTCATCTAATGGGATCTGCTTTGAGTTTATTTCTTCAGTCAGTTCAGTTGTGAGTTCCTTTTCGAAAGCACTGCTGACTCCATCCTCTAGTTACTTGTTTCTAATGTAACTGAATTGTGCCCAATCTAGACCCTTCAAATGCTTAACGCTATTGATATATCTTCCAAGTTCTTGGAAAATAACCGCAAAGCTCTATGCAATCAAATATTCACTCACATTTTCATCAACTAATGATTGAGCTTTAGTAAGAGTTGGAACATTTGTGCCTGAAGTCTTAATTTTAAGTTGAGCGTTCTTTTCTTGTCTTACTGTTCTGCCTACAGTTAAGACATAGAATAGTTCAAATGTCTCAAGCACATCTCTTGCCAGATCCTTTTCACTTTCTTTAGTGACTACTTGACTCTTATAGTTCATACCCCAGAGTTTCTTAAGCTTATTTTACTTTTCTCCATTGCCTTCATGTAGTACTCTGAATATATCAATTGATCTTAAGAATCCATGATCCCTAGCTGTATACTTCCACTTTAAGGCATTAAGAATGACATTGATCTCTTAATTACTGTCAGACTCTTTCAGAATTTTGATAAGATTATTAATGATAGAGAAGAAGTTCTCTCTTGCTAATTCGTCAAGTGTGTCACCACATCCCTTAAGATCATCAAGATAGTGAGTAAGCTAATTCTTGTTATATCTCAAAGAAGAAGTGAACCAATTGATTTGATCTTCTCTAATTTCTCTCTTGATTTTAAGCGAGAATAACTGACTAAGAAGCTTGAGTCCTGCTATTCTCTTAGTAGAACTAAGGAACACATTCTCAACTTGCTTCTTTATTCTTTGAGTGCTGATTGGAGTTTGAAGGCAAGCCAAGATTGACATGACTGATGACTCGAAGATTTCCTTCTTTTTGTCAGTGAAACTCTTAATTGCTCCCTTTGAAGTTTGCATTTGCTTCCATTGCTTGAGTCTGTCCCTCCAGGTGAATTCAGCAGCTCCTCCTATTGAACTCTCAACAGCTTCCATAGACTGAATATCTCTGATGAAGAGGAGATTACCAACTTTGTTTGAAAGTTAATCTTTAACCATGTAGCTTTCAGGTACGCATAGTTTAGTGAGGAAGTCAGCCTTTTCAATGATCTTCTCATAGATTATGTTTAGTTCAGTTGCGTATTTCTGGTCTGTTTAGTCTTCAATAGTCTATTTATCGGCTTCTGTGAGTCCTCTATCATCTCTTTCGGTGTTTTAAATAGTTGCACTGGTTGAAGTGTCAATTTGAATTGACTCTGTGTCAGATGCTTTGACTTCAGTGGCTACCGGCTGTGGTTGTTTTTCTTTGTTCTTCATGTACTAAGTCTCAACTTCCTTCTTGATCTTTTCAATAAGGTTTTTCTTCTTTTCATTGACCCATTATCTCATCTTAGATGCACTTTCCCATCTCTTTTAGATTTGCTCATAGTTCTTATGCTTCTTGATGAAGTCCTTTATCTTGAATTCTTTGTCGTCATCAGAAGCCAATTCAGAGTAAGCGAGATCAAATTCATCAACCAATTCCATGAGTTTATCAACTCCGTCATGTGAGAACTTAATCATCACTGCGAATGCTGCTCTAGTCAATCTCATGCCGTCTTCTCCTCCGAGTCTAGCATAAGGAACCATTGGCACCTTTCTTTCCAAGAGTTGTTGTAGGTAAGCAATCAGACGATCAACATTATCGTTCTTGCCCTTGTAGATAGTAGATGAAACTAGTTTCTCGTCTTCAGTCTCGAAGCTACTGTTAGATCTTTCGGTGTTGAAGCTCTTTAGTCTCTTGTCTTAAATCACATTAATCAACTCAGTGATCTGGGCCTAGGTATCTACAGAGAATAGATTCAGGTACTTAGCTTGAAGTCCTCCAGATAAGAGATCAGACTAGATAATCAAATCATACTGAGCTTCCTTCTAAGACTTCTTGGCTTGTTCTGCAGCTACATCTGCCTCCTTTACATCTTCTTTTACTTTTATTAGTTTATAAGCAATAGTGCCAATTAGCTTGCAAGCCTGTCTATTATAGCTTCTGAGCATACTGTGCAAATCATCATTATTCTTGCCAGCTTTGAAGCGCTTTTTGTGAGCAGCTCTCATCTTGTTATAGTCTGAAATAGATTGAAGTACGCCCATTACTGACGATGTGAGAGTATGAATAAGAGTCACCTTGCTCTTGATGAGGCTGAAAGAGTTGGTGTAAATAGAGAAAGTCTTCAGAAGACTTGAACCATAGAGAAGAATGATGTTAGCAAGATCAGCATACTTGAGATATCTCTTGCTGTTTTCCTAAATTTTTTCCTCTTCCTCTGACTTTAAGAAGTTATCTTGAATTCTGGCATAAGTATCAATCTGTTCTTAGATGCAGTTTCTGTATACTTGGAAGAGTTGAATAATAAGGCCTTCTGTCACCTTGAGTTTAGCTTTATCAGACTCCATGCTTGGATAGAATTGACCTTATTTAGCTTGCATGGTGTCTAAGAGGGCTGAATATTAAATGATTACTGTCTCTCCATATGTCTTCAAGAAAGAGTTACATTTAACATATAAGTTAGAGAATGGCTTTTGTTCAGTAGCTTCAAGAAGCTTAAGAGTTTCCTTATTAGAAAATTCAGAAGTTAGTTTAAACAGTAACTTGACTGCATCAATGTTAGACTTTGATGGATCAATGATTTCTTTTGTAACTTCTTTTCTACAGAGATAGCCTAGCAAGATCACACAGTTCTCAGCTTGCTTCTCATTGTTCAACTCGCTTAATGTCTTGTTAAGGGTACTGATAAGATCTGAATTATCTTGATATATGAGGTTGATTGAAGAAGACAGGATAGATTAGCATAGCTAGTAGATTTCTTGCCAGAGAGTTTTCATTTCATCGGCAGCTGGGCACTCCTCAAACTCAGCATTATAGCCTTTTTCAATTATTCTAATAACTGTCAACTTGTAAACATCAATGAAGTCTTTGTAGGACTCTTTGAGTTTCAGGATATCATGAATAGAAATGGAGCAGGCAGTGATAGCATCAAAGTTGGCTTTCAAAGCCTTTAGGATAAATAGGAAACTGTACTAGTCGTGGAGGTTCTATAGAGTTTTCTTTTAACTAATAATCACACTGTTTCTGTCTAGGGTCACCTAGAGAAGCTTAAATAAAGTGCTAGTCAAGTATGTAACTTTAGGGAACTTGAAGTATGTTAGTAGTCTTTCCTCAGAACCTGCAGTGTTAGAGTTTTCAAGGGCAACCTAGAAATCTTGACATGCTCTTTCAATATGACTCAAGATCAAAGTTCTCTAGATTCTAGGTAGTAAGGCAATCTTCTAGAATTCCTTTGATCTGTCTCTGTTCTCCTAAATCAGAAGAGGAGTGGTGACATTCTGCATGATTCTTTCTATCAGATTAAGACTAGATGATTGTTCAACTTGTTGGCTGTTGTAATTGTCGCCATAAATTGAGTCCTTGAATTTGCTGATTCTGTCGCTCATATACGCTTTGGCAAAGCCTTAGATCACTCCTGCCTTTTTGAAGTTAGGGATTGAGAATGATCTGATTTCAGGTTCATCGATTTCAGTCGAAAGAGTGTATACTATATTGTTGGTATAGTCATAAGCAGCCCTGAACTTTTCATTATAGCATGGGTAGCTAGTTTAACCGATCTTTTGTCCATCACTAAGTCTAAAGATAAAAGACTCTTTGTGGCATCCATTGTGTAAGATAACATAGGAGCCATTGCAGAATATACTAATCTAACCATTGTTCAAGGTATCAAAGTCAAAATCTTCCTTATTGATAGGTTCTCCTTCTTAGTTTCTGAATAGAGTAACTTCTCTCACGAAGTCTAGGTTTGGCTTGGTGCCATCATACTACTCAATAGTAATCTTGGTCTCTTTGCTTTCTTCAGTGTCAGAAGCCTCATGATCATCATTTGTTTCTATAATATATATGATATTTCAAGTAAATCTTACCTTGGGAGGCGACCTTTGAGATTTTTTCAGCAACCAAATAGAGGTACACTCCATCAGTCATAAGTGTGTTATTGTAGACTTTTCTTTCAACGTCTTTTTGTTCTGGGTAAACCATAACATCTTGCTTAACTGCAGTCTCCTGGAGAGTGTCTGTGTTAATCTCAATGATACCGTTTACTTGTGAGCTTGACCTGCAAAGTAGCTTACCATTCAAGCATACCAATCCAATATGATCATCTTTTCTGATATCCTCTGCTCTATGGAACACTTAGCCCACCATCTAGTCCTAGGTGCCAGTTCCTAGCTTGATAAGACCTTGAGTAGTGTCATGGAAGTATAGGAACTATCCATCAGTGGCCAAAGCAACTTTCGAAGCAATGACTACCTTAAATATTCTTCCAGTCTTGCCAGTTACATATTAATTGAAGTGATCCTTGTCAATAATTTACTCTGATGAAGCAGTATTTTCTTAAAGTAACTGGAGTTCTTATCTCAAGTCAACTTGAGCATTTTGCTTTTCGAGGAGAGTAGCAACCACTAGTAGATCTTCCACGTTAGATCTTGCGATACCCATTAGCAATATGATCTTGTATGCAAGCTCAACGGCTCTGTCTGAACTTTGCATATCCTCGATGATGGAAACCAAAAATTGTCTAGCATCATTCAAGTTGGCATCAATCATAAATGAGACCTTGTCCACACCATATAATGAACCTGGCTGAGCTTGTCTGACTGACTAGTATAAGTACTCAAGTGAGTTTACAAGCATGTCCTTATTGAGAGAAGAGACCTCTTTCAGCAGTGAAAGACTGAACTTCAGACTAGTTTCTAGACCGACTTGGATTCTGTCGCTTGTGTCGGACTTTGATAGGAATTTCTTAACATAGTCAAAGAAATTGATTTTCTAAATAAAGTTAAAAACGTATCTTTACCTTTTCTTAATGAGATTTCTGTTTTTCTTAGAAAATTGCATACAAAATCAAGAGCATGCTATCGTTCATACTTTTGAACTCCTTAGATGAATCACTCTCTCCGACAGTGAAATACTGTTGGAATGCTAAGGATATGAGTTAAGTTATGAAATTAATGATTAGATTAGTTATGATGAGTCAAAATCACTCAGTGAGAATTTAGAATTAGGAATTATTGCCATACCTGGTTCTTTGAGCAACTCTAGGTTGCCAGAGGCAGTCACGAATCCACTGACTAGTCCTTCATTAAGCTCGTTGACGTATTGTCTCTTGTAGTTTTCCTCAGAATTGTCATTAAGCGAGAGATTGGTTTCAGGGAAAGCCAACTCCATATTTGGCTCCTTAAATCCGTCCAGTTTTTGCAGACTCTTGCCCAACTCTTAGATGAAATCGCAGTTGGTGAGGATTTCAGGAGGGATTCCAAGTTTTTGTTCAAAAACGCAATTAGAAAAAGCTTTTTGTAGCTCGACGTTACCCATTTAAAGATACTTTAAAATAAGATATTTATAATATTTCCTCCTTCAATCAAAGACTTAAGTACTCCTATTTACTCAATTTCATTATTCGCATTAATGAACGTTATTCATTATGATGGGGTTTTGGGGTTTTG